ATTTCCATAAAGTATTTCATGGGAAAGAAAATGTACAAGATGGTAGATCATAACTTTCTGGTGTGAAGCAATGATATAATAATCTGTTTGACATGTGTCATAATCTATCATACACTATACACTCATTAAACAGGTATATATCAGGAGTTCAAGAACTTCAAGCCAGAGCTAGTCAGGTACAATACTATACAAATATTATGACAGATTATAGGCGACTGCAGTACTAACCTTTTATCAGAGAAAGAAGACCTTTTCATATAGCAGAAACAAATAAAGGCCAACTGCCCACTCGAGATACAGGAAATAATTCTAAAAAGCATCTATAAGGCCATACAGAACAAGCTAGAGCAGGTTCACAGGATGCAGCATGACCAGCACAAAGAATGTGCCCACCATTGGCAGGCCCTAAAAATAGAGCTTGTAATTTGAGTATATAATTGGACATCGGAACAGCCTGTCCCACAACTGACCAACTAGCCCTTTTTGGCCCTGAAATGACATGGTTTAAATGTAAAATTATTGACAGGAAATGGATACTTCTTTTGATTACAGACAGATGTTAATTGCCTACACCCTGGTATTTCTTGAATTGGATTCTGCAGGCCCAAATTATTCACTCCAGCCAACTCTTGACCTGATGAATGATAGCCCCTTAAGCCCTTCCATATCCAGTTGAAACTCACTCAGCCTTAAGGTATCTTAGGAAGTCCAGGAGTCTTAGATGTAGTTTTCTCATAGTCAACCAAACTGACTTTAAGGAGTGGGAGTTGCAATAGATTAGAGGTGTGGGGAGGAGCATGTAGGAGTCATGTAAAGATAAACAATAATAGAATCCATTTTTTGAACTCTGAAGTCATGAAATAGCCTTTTGCATAAGAAATACTATAGGCAACATCAGGCATGGAAACAACAGAAGAAAGTATTGTCACAAAGACTACAAGCTATAGATACTATCAGGAATCATGTGTCACACCTGTAAGGACATCCTAAGGATATTAGAATATGAGATACCAGCATCTAGGTAATACAACAATACTGGAGCCAAACTAGGACATATTATGTCAATGTCCTGGTGGGGAGAGTAGTGAGTAGGTAGAATCTAGATGAAACAGGAGGACACTATATGATGCCCAGCTGACCAGGTAAGAGTTGTGTTATCCTCAGTGGATGGGACAATTACTGGTATTACTAGAACATCAGGGAAAAAGTCAGCTTAAGATAGGGAGAGGGAGGCAGAAAAGGGTGACAATAGGAGTACAGGGCCAGGGATCAACTATTGTCAAAGAACAGTTGTGAAGGATAGGATGTTGTCAGGTGGTGAGACTTTAAGATCAGACATAGTCAGGATATACGGGATACAGAGGTAGGTATCAGGACAGCGTGAGAATATAGAGATATATACAATCCAAATTAGGATATAACATGTGTGCAACATCATGTCCTGGTTAATATTGAGTCTTCTGAGCATTTCATATGTGAGATGGGCCTGACACATAGGACACAGGTAATAGTTTTTGCCAATATTACTTTTGCCGTTGCATCTATAACAGTGTTAGGAATACCAGGATCCGATACTTAGGAAACACCCTATGTAGGGTAACCCCACTTGGAATCAGAATCTCAGGTCTCCAACACCCTACTCTGGTCCACTTATGGGGCCTGCAGGTCCTCATACATATCCATCTCAGTTACATAGCTCAATTGAAATATCACATGACTCTTCACCAAAGGTCACATATTCATCTCCTGTTGTCGTCAAAGTTATATCTTGTATTGAGTTATTTTTTACCAATACTTCTTACAACTGCAAGGCTCACTACACAACAACCAAGTGCCTCCAAATGAAGGATTATGATTCTATCCTATAGGTGTGCTTCTCCTCTACACAAAGGAAATTACTGGATAAGAATCTATAGGTTGGATCCAAAGATATTGAGCTTTGAAGTTGGCAACTTAAGATGGTTGCATATGCAACTTCTTGGAGTCATCTAGAGCAACTAAGGATTGCCTACAGAGAGATTATCTGACAATCCAGTAGAATATCTTCCTGCGAATAAGTAGGAAGTTCTCCGGAAGATATCTGTGTATTGGGTATGGAGTTATAGAGGTTTTGAAGTCAGGTAAACTAGGAAGTTTGCAATTGCCACTACCTCTGCAGATACAACCTGCAGATGAAACTAATCATTTCATCAATAACAGACAATTGGGACCAACTCAGTTTGACTTGAGAACTAGGCCATAAGTCTAAAGACTCTGATGATTGGATAATTACTATTGGGAACAACATGGTTCTTGGTTAGCAATATTATAATTACTGAAGACGGTGTGGTGGTTTTCAGGGTCTCCAGGTGTTCACACCTTTTGAAGAATACCCAATGTTGCAAGTTATTGTTAGAGACAAACATAATTATATAATAGATAGATGTAGTCTGCGAATACTCAGACATGGAATATAAACATCGAAGTGTCTCCCAAGCTTTTAGACATCTTCAAGCAATGGAGAAGAGATCTTAACAAGATAATATTGTCTTCAAAATTCTACTCTATTTCACCCAGTTTACTTCACTCTTAGTAAGGCATAAATGAAACAAGTGTAATTTGAGCCTTCCTAGACAATCTCCGTCTACAGAGATGAATCTTGGTTGACCTAGACAACTCTAAAGTCTATCAGGTTGTCTCCGCCTAACAAACAGCCACACTTTTTGTGAGCAAAATGATCCCAGCTCTCGTCTCCCTGAACAATATTTGATGAGGCAGAAGTGGCGGTAAGCGGAGGGGGCGGTGAGGGTGAGGAACTCTTGTTGCAAGAATATTGTGCCGGCAGTCAGTTGGGTGTCCAAATAATCCCAATAGACTACCATGTGTCCTGTGTTCGCCGATTCTTGGATGTCCTGATAAGCTTTGATTGAAAATCCCCATCCCCACACACGTCGAAGCTTCTAGCTGTTTTGCCAGAGTAGGTAGATGAACACCTGTGGTAACAAAAGACACTTCCTATGATACTGCCCCGGGATTAGTGTTAGTAGAGCGGTCCGCCGGTAGGTGTAACAGTTCCTACGGTATCATACAACATCCAGGTAGCGCAAATGTTCAACACAATACGAGCAGTCTATACGTGCCGGTTCGATATCGAACTGTACTCGTACGGTACTCGTACAGTGCCGTAGGCTATGTTCCGAAGGGAAACCAAAACCAAAAAATGCCGTGATTGGGTGTACAACCACTCACTTTCTTTAGATACCACAGTGGATTGCCCCAACCATGGCATAATTCGGGTAGGCGGCATCGTCAATTTATTCTATGCTCGAAATTAAAAAATACCGATACCTTCGGGGTTTCCTTCCATTTGACCTTTTTCGTCAAAGACCAAAGTTGTATCGAATCGTGTTATGGGAGCAGGAAAAAAAGAAATGGAGACAGGAGACAAAGACAATAACTAATGAAGATAGGCAGAAACTGGACAAATGAAATAAAATGTTGCCAAAGGGCAAGTGAAGGGACACTCGTTACTAACTTAACCCACCTCAATCACCCCCACTGCCCATAAAATAGCGGCCGCACCTGGGAGCAAGACGAGAATCATCCTATAAGAGGACACATGCACATGGGGTGACAGATGTCGGGAAAAACAGAAAGCAAGAATCGAGAAATCTCCCGGGAGTATTGTAGAGTACAGAGAAAGGGGAAAAAAATAAACATGGCCAGTAATACCATAATCCCACACGATCCAGCACGTTACGCCTCATCAGGTATACAAAGGAAATATCGGAAAATGATAGGCGGTTAGGCTAAGTCCCATACCTTGGACGGGTTAAAAGAATAAATATGCTAGCAAGAATGCGGCCAAGCACATAGCTGCGCAGGCCTGCACGGAGATACCTTCTGGGGGATGGGGGGTGAGGCCCAAACCAATATTTCCTTCTGCGATACGTTCATTGGGGCCTGATGCCATAGTAGCGCTTGCCTCTTTATGAACACTCTGCTCTTGGAGCTGCTGCTGCAGCTTCGCGATAGTAGCCTGTGCCTCAGCTAACTTGATGGACATATCAAGACCACCCACAGCTCTACTCTGAACTGGCGCGTTGTATTCAGCAACCTTGGGTTCCGGCTTGGGAATTGGGACCGACTCTGCAGATTGATTGGTGGATGGACCTTCGTGTTGTGTTGGAGCGGGATCAGAGTATGGTGGAGGGGATTGGTGAGGTTCAAACTGCCGTGTAAACATCAGTTACGCTATTATCATGCCTTCTCACCGGTTTCTTTTTCTCCTAAGAATTTGGGAATGCGCAGGGAATTATATCGACCCACCGGAACGTCGCCATTGGGCGCAGACAATTCACCTGGTTGCAAGAATACTACACGAATTTTCTTCTCCTGGATGGCCGACTTCTCATTTTTTTCAACGTGTGACCACTGGGGGGTGTCAGAAACGGAGGTCAATTTAAGCTATTCCACAAAGGAAACTCACAATTTGCCCAACGGTGTTGTATTCCTTATCCGCAGTGATTGCGACAGATTGAACTAAGAATTTATCGCGGCATTTGTAATCGGCGGGGGGATCTTCCTTCATTGCTTGCAATAGGACTAAATAGGGCGTAAGAAATAATGGAAATCCTAGGTCTATCTGGAAGGATCCTCAGTACCTTGGACTTCAACTTGTTTACCAACTTCTATACGGCCAGAATTAGGTCGAACACAGTACCTAACCAAGGTTAGTACATAATATACAGTAGGCTCAACACTGCCGAGTGATGTGGGCCTAAATAGTACTCACTGCTTTGGAGCTGTAGTTTTGACCTAAAAGGCACAGATTCACTTTCTTAGTAAAAATGCAAGACCTTCAAGCGAGAAGTATGAGGTTCGACGAACCTTGAAAGCGACAGGGTCATAGTTGGAGTTCCTGATATGAAGTGTTTGAATGACTTCGTGGTTGAACGGGCCTAAATTGAAAGCCGTTAGCTGGTGCATAAGGCTGCAGCCTAAACCGAGAATATTGAAGCTCACGTTCAAATCCTAGTTCGGTGGGGTCAAGTTCAATGCTCATGATTACTCGGCTTTGTGTGGGGTTTGGAGGGAAGAGAAGAAGAGAGAGGAAGAAAGAAATAAAGAAAGAATCTATGTTCAGTCGAAAGCGGGACGGGATGGAGAAGGATGATCTAAGGACACTAGTTGTAGTGGACGCTAAGTCAGCGGTGGGGATGGGTGGTGATGGTGATGGGTGATGATGATGGAAGATGAAGTTGGTAAAGAAAGTGACAGGTGGTGGGGGTGTAAAGCTGGAGGTGCAGTGGTGGGTTGTTGTCCAAGGGGTTGTTTGGGGAGATGTTTTGGAGGAGGTGGAGGATGAAGCGGGAGAAGAGGAATACTTGTGAGGTCAGAGTAGTGGTGGTGGTGGCCTGGGAGGATTTGGCTGTCTGGATTCTTAGTCCTGCTACGGTACTTCTTTTCCTCCCCTTATTTTTTTTTCCCTTCCTTTTTCCTGGCTAGTTGGTTTTTCACCCTCTTCTGCTTGTATAGTCCTTTTTCTTTTTCTTTTTCTTTCTTCATTCTCTTCTGCTTTAGTCCTTTTTACGCCTTCTCTATCCGTCGATTTACCGTACTTAAGTGGTTCAGTGTCGGTAGCTGTCTTGTCCTGACCTGAGTGGGTAGCTTCCTGCGTGTCGTGCTTTCAAATCGTTGCAGAGTGTATCCTAAAGTGCCAGCCAATCCACTGCACCGCCACGTTATATCTCCTCAGTACTAGCCACATCCTGATTGGTTGTGAACATCACACGAGCCGCCACACCTTACCCCAAAAAGTATGGACCCCGCCTGTGACGTCGCACGCCCTCGTTGCTCTTTCTGCTCCCAACCCCAGCTGTATCGGTAGTCTAGTCTACCTGTAGCACAGTCAACCGCTACCTCCACTACCCCCCCTCCTCTTCTTCCACATCCACACCCCCACCAACACATACTCTCTGTGCCGTATCGACGTTGCCAGGTATCCTTCATTTTCCATTCCTCCTACATTGCATTCTTACCTCCGTGCACTTTACCAGATAAAAAAAAATAAAAATAAACGCCGTACACTTTCCCTTCTCGAACAATGGGTCAAACAGACTATGACCTGCTTATCGAAATGGGTTTCAATCCTGAGCGAGCAACACTCGCACTGAAAAAGACTGGTGGTCGTAGGTGGTCTAGATTTCTGTCAAAAGGCTATTTGTCTCGCTGACCTTGACTGTAGTTCAGGATGCCCTGACCTGGCTTGAGAATAACGAAGAGATACCCATAGAACAGCTCAAAGGCTCGGCTGATCAACTACTCGATCCCGGTTTATCTTCTGTCCCCACCGGTAGCGGTGGAGATGATGACTACGATGGTGATGAAAAGCCTGAAATACCTGGTACCGCTGCTAGTATCAAATGTTCCGAGTGTGGAAAGCTGTTTTCGGATTCAGTTCGCGCGGAATACCACGCTACAAGAACGTGAGTCGGGATTAAGGCAGATCCTTCCAGTTGTCATGGGGTCCAATTACTATACACATTACTGAAAGTTGGAACAGCCAACATACAGAGTTCGAGGAATCTACGGAAATCATTCAACCCCTTACAGAGGAGGAAAAGGTTGCGAAGCTTCGGGAACTTCGAGAAAGGTAATCTGAACCTTGAAAGAAAAAAGCAAAAAAAGAGGCTCGCTGTTTGTAGTAACTCTATATTAATATTATTTTTTTTCTTCTTCGCGATAAGATTGACCGAGAAGAGAGCCGCACAAGCCCAGAAAGACCGCGAAGAAGCGAAGAAAAATGAGGTGAGGGTTTTGAATAAACTCAGGTTTTTTTTTTTGCTAACTTTGCTAGCTGATTCGTCGCAAAAAGGGACAGGAATCCGAGAAGATTAAAGAGGAGTTAAAGAAAAAAGAACAACTCAAGGAAGTCGAGAAGCGCAAACGGGAGAAGCAAGAGGAGCTTGCTGCTAAGGAAAGGGTTCGTCAACAGATAAAGGAAACTCAAGAGGCTAGAAGAAGACAAGCAGAGAAAGAGAGAGCGGCTCGAGAGGGTAAAATGGTAGAGGAACCAGCGGCTGCGGCACCGAAGCCAGTTCCTCCCAGAGCTGCTACCGCTCATTCAGAAACCCGTTTGCAATTGCGTTTACCCACTAGCCAACCGCCGTTGATTAAGACCTTTCCTGCTGAAACCACACTCTTCGAAGTAGCACAAACTGTCAAAGAAGAGAGGGGTGATTATCTCTATCCAATCCCCTACGTTGTTTTACGACAACTAATATAGTCACCATCACCATAGGATTCGATGCCTCTTCCTTCACGATGACATTTCCCCGAAAAGTATACCATCAAGGAATCGACTTTGGCATGACACTTAAGGAAGCTGGGATGGTCCCATCCTGTGCGCTACTTGTTAATTAGTTGTGAAGGCGATGCCGCCTTGAGTCGAATGATATCCCTTCTGGTGGTGTAATCTTTAAGAAAAAAGAAAAAAATGATGGAACTCTAGAAAATTTGAGGGTACATTCTCCTGTAGTTCCGAATACTAATCAGAAGTTCTGCATAGGGTCTCAAGGCTCACCGGACGGTCTTCCTCCTCGGAACCTAACATACTGGCATCTCGAGCAATAACCTTATAGCAATGCCGATCAACGGTTAAGCAACACTTCAGAAAATATGTATACAAAATATTTGCAACTTGTCTATGGGAGTAGGTGGGTAAAAGTGTAGTCGAGGGTGGCTTCCCGTGGCCCATCGTCAGGTGACCTGAGTGTGATATTCAAATACGCCAGACTAGTTTGCGATTCGTATGCAGGTGATATGTAGGGATCCTACGTGGTCCTGTCATGAAATGCGCTAGGGAATGCCATATATAGATTTTATGGAAGATCACTTTAAAAACTGGAAGGGTCCATCGCTAGTAGTATCGATGAGGGGAAACAAAGGCCTGTTTATTGGAATTTATGAGAGTCACTCAGTGAGGAAAGGAGGATCAGAGTGTTTTCGACACTTCATGCATTCGGACGCTGGCCAGGAGTTGTGGCATGACGGGACCTCTGCCACGCGTTTTCTCTGATCAGAGAAAGAAAGTGGATGGGTCCAATGAAGGTAGAATGGAAGGTTTATGATTCCAGTTTCTATCCACTGCCCATAATTGTCCCATATTAATGGGAAAAAAGAAAAAAAAAACCCATATACTAAGTTCTTGGGAGGACCTAAACTGGGAGACAAGTGATCGATCGAACCTCACTGAAGCTCGGTAGAGTAGCATAGAATACCGTTGTATGAGGTCTACATACCGATTAAAAACACGGTGTTTCGATTTGCGATATTCACGGGTAGTTTACCTGGCTGGCGGGGCGGGTGGGGACCATAGTGTTTAATATCGATACTCCCGAGAAATCTGGCCTTCATTGATGACCTTCAATTGCGCTCTTGATTTCCTGTTAGCTGGCATTGAGAAAGCGTGGCTCTTACTTGGGGCAGCAAGTGAACTGAAAAAGAGGAGGGAGGATGAAAGGATATCATCAGCATTTGTGTTGTATTGGCAAGGTTCTGCATGCAATGGTTCAATGCGGAGCCAATGAGCTTCTCATGATGCACATAGTAGTATGCAGCGTTGCGGTAACATTTATTTTTCGAATCTCCAAGAGATATTTGCCAGGTAGCCTATTAGCAAGGGCTGTGTGTGAAGATTCGGAGGGGAATAGGGGAGCATGGAAGAGTCCGAGCCTGGACTGTCCAGCTGATGCAGCAAGTTGGCTGACTACCCATCGCGGCAAGCATTGAAGTGCTATTTATCGCACTCTACTCGAGTCAGCGCACCCAGCGAGCGTCGCACTTGCCATACAACAACGGCAGCAGCAGGTCACTCAGCCAGATTCGAATATCTATTTTATCGATCGCTACAGTGCTACAAGAACAGTGCATAAACCACTTAGATTTCTTCACCTCGTTACTTCAGTAATTGAATTGTGCAGGAACAAAAAACCTTAATATCAAGCCAATGCTACGGTCTACCGCATCACATGGAACTCGAACACATATTCAAGGGGAAACCAGGCCCACCAGACACTGGACCTAGTTGAGGATGGATCCTGGGTACGTGGAGTTTTGGGAGGGCTACGGTAGGGGACCGTAGGAGTACCGGTACTGGTATCATAGACAGAGCTGGTAGTATTATAGTATACGCACGGCTCAGTACGAGTAGTTTATGCTGACATGATACCATCCACCATCCATCGATGTCGTGACAAGAGGGAAATTTTTAGGAATGATTGGCCGCAGAGGGGAGACAGGCGGGTGGAACGTAGGAGATTTTTTTCCTCCTTCTTTTCTTTTTTCTTTTTCTTACCGGGGTTGCGATTATGGTATATACCGGTATATAAAAATTGCCGGGAAGCTTGAGAAAGTGCGAGACGGAGGGGTTTCTTTGGCCACGGTGCTGGATGGCCGGCCATAGAGGAAGTTGGAGGGATGGATAGGGTATGTTAGTATTATGGCGGTGTTGGTGGTAGGTGCAATGTGTGTGCGCGGGTGGTTTTGTGGCTCTAGATATCGTAGACTGATTGTTGGCTGGATATTTATGGGATGCGTACTGGGCAGTACGAGTAATGTACAGATAGTCTACATAGAGCGGTTGTTTATCGCACAGTATGGTACATGGTGTTGATGTATTGTTGCCAAATTTTTCAATTTTTCAATTTTTTGGGGGGGGTTGACTGGCAAAATGAATCCTTGGTCAACGATTTGGTCTGGGAAGTAGACGGTATCATGGTTTTTGTGTGAATGTTGGGCGTTGGGTGCTAGGCGATTACAGTACCGTACAGGTATTTGTTTATCCCTTCGCTTCTTATGATTGTTGCACTGTACGTGTCGCGGTAAGTGCTTTGCTTACTGTGAAGGGAAAAAAGCCCTCCCATCGAGAGGCCCTGAAGACGAAGGTGGGAAAAAATGAATAAAAACAATAAAGATAATAATTATTATACGAGTGGGGGCTCACAGTATTCTACTATACTAGTACGGGTATCATGTGGTAAATGGCGATACGGTGGCATAGGGTACCGTACCGGTACAGTACTGTACAAGTACTCGTACTGTACGGTCGTCTTCCCATGCACCACCCTGCTTCCATCCAGTGTCATACATTGTAAGGAGGTTTTTTTTCGCACTTACGTTGGTAAGCCCACCCCATACAGTACGAGTACAGTACATTCATTCCATCCGTCTTTTACACCCATCCATCCATTCGTCCACCCACTTCTATCATATCCCTCCCTTTTTTTTTTCCCTCTTAATCCTATTCCCCAGTTGGCTCGCCTTACACCGCCTGGCCACTGCGTGTTTCCTCTTTTTCTGCCCTCAACCCCTTCTCCCTCTCTCCCTCTCCCTTTCCTTCTCCCCCTCTTCAACTCCTTTGCTCTCTCATCTTCCCCCTCCTCATACTTTATCCACCTCCCCACACCCAGCGTCACACAACCTGGAAGTAATTTAAACTTCCCGTTTCACAGTTACATTTACTGGTCTACTAGCATTCATGAGCACCATCATGGATCCTCTTCACCTTCACCCTCCGTCGGCCCCTCGACTCTCGCCTCCCCGCATGGGTAAGCTAGTTTCCCCCTCTTGTTCTGTTAAGATTGCTTCCTCTCCTTTGTCCTCTTTCTTGTCCTCGCTTTTGGAACATATAGGTGCTTTGTCGAGCGTTTGTATTGGAGCTCCTTGTTTGGGTGTTTGATTTTGGAACTTCAGCTGATGGTTCTCCCAGGAGGGAGGAAGAGAAAGGCGGACGATGACGGGCGGCCTGACGATAACGGATATCCCGAGGACGAGCAAATGAATACTTCCCCGTCTCATTCTCCGCATACGTATAACCGCCCAACTCATTCTCAGAACCGAATCAAGAGGCAACGCAATAATGTTACTGGTCGCCCACTCCCATTGTCTCGTCTACTCGAAACCGTCGATGTGAATGCTCTCAAGTCGATCCTGCAGGTTATGTGCGATCGGCATCCCGAGCTCACGGCGGAAGTTTCTTCGCTTGTTCCTCAACCTACCGTCTCTTCCGCTCTCTCGACTTTGAACAATTATGAAGTGTCTGTAAGGTCTGCGTTTCCCTATGGCGGAAGTTCTACCGGCGGTTATGCATACGATCGGGTCCGCCCTGCTCTCATGGAACTTCTCAATGCACTGTCCGATTATACACCTCATTTTCTCCCTCCAAACGAGGCCCAGGCGTCTACCAGCTTAGCTTTCCTCGACGAAGCTACCAATATCATTCATCGCTTACCTACTTGGGATAATCCCGTTCACAACCATTCGAAGAATATGGCGTACGAAGAAATCGCAAAGGCATGGGTTTTGGTTGTTCAGGAGGCAGCTAAGCGTGGTGCTGGGATTGGACTCCACACTGGGGGGTGGGATACGAAGCTTGGGAAGCACGTTGAGCAGTCGGAGGGAAGAATGCAGGTAGCCTTGACCCAAATGAGGCAGTCAGTAGGCTGGATGGGGGATTTAGGAAACGGGCAGAGGCGCATAGGCGGACTGGGATTTAACATGCATTCCACTGGGGTTCAGGTTCCTGTTCGCAGCTGGTAAATAGTACTCACAACCTGGGAAGCTGTCTTTTTCTCTTTTCCAGCGTAATGGGGAGTTTTAATTATCCGCCTTGTTTTTCATCACTATTTGGGAAACTATAATCCCTTTTGTGTTTCTGCCTTTTATTCCTATGCTGTCCCTCTGTTTTCAACATTTCTTTATCTTTCTGCAACGATTTCCTGCATTCATGCCTCATGCCCGATTCTTTTTTTCTTTGCACGTATTTGCTTTACTTCCTTTGTCGTTTATCCATCAAGTTATCTCATTGACTCGAGGTCTTCATTGTACGTACTAGTAGCTTTGTCTGGAGATAGACTGTGTGGATGCATTTATGTCACTAACAGTATTTTTGTACATTGGAAATGCAGCCTATCATGTCAATATTTATGGTTCATGAATCGTGGTTCAATTGTGAAAAGTGAAAAATAGGTGTAAGGTAGGCATGTAGCAGATGCAAGAGAGTGTATTGGATCATCGAATAAAGATGCCTAATGAGCGGTGAGGCACGATTCGAATACAGTAAAGCGCTGCAGCAGCGTACAAAACAAATTTTCTACAATAGAACCTGTGAAGCGATACTAAACACCCAAGCTGGATCCTGCCACCCCATGTCCTCGTCTCTAAGCCTTCTTTGCTCCCTCAACTTTTCTTCGTCAATGGTATCAAACTTGACACTCTGACTTCTAAAACTCGCCTTCTCAGCCAATGCCTCTTCCTCGTACCCATCGAGACTTTCGTCGTCCTCGGCATCATCCTCGGCAAACACGGTCCATCCAATCATCCTATCGACAAACTGGCCCAATCCAAATCCCTTGGGGATGTCAATCTCCTCCTCCTCCCCTTCCTTCTGCTCGTCCGCTTTGTCGTCTAATTGGTCGAAGTAACCATTGCCACGCTCCAACGCTTCCAATTCTTCAGACATGTACCCTCCATTGCTGTATACTCTCGATGGCCTCCTCCTAGGTGTTGTTATTCCAGTGGTAGTAGCAGCGAAGGAGTCAGGAATTTCATCGTCGTCACCATCTTTAACCAGACTGGTGCTGCTCGCGCGGGAGACTAGCCACGACTGACCCTTAAACTCCCGGGTCTCGGACGTCAAAGCTGCCCCAGTTCTCTGTAGCCATTCAGTAGAATTACTACGGTGCGATAGTTGTGACGAGGACTTCGATTTTGGCAAATCAATGTAGGAACTCTTCCGGGACGAGAAAGAGTGACTTCTGCTCAATATTCCTGGAGTGGTGGGCGCCTGCGTTTTTGTGTTTTTTTGCCCACCGCATTAGCCAATTCCTTCGGTTGGTGATCAAAGGGCAGGTTTAGTAGCAGCATGGCATAGTGAGATCATACCGATAGGCCCTGGATATAACTCCCCTCCCTACCCCTCCGTTCCTTCCTGCAGAAGTCCTGCTCTGTGATGACGGCGCCTGACGTTAGCGGGGATAAGGACATCTGGCTGAAGTTGATGTTTCCCGTAGATTTGCGCGAGTGCCGACTGCTGTGCGCTATGGAGGACAGTGGGGACACGGCCAGGTCAGCCATTATCTCTGCGACTGTCTTGTCTGTTGCTAGCCGGAGAAGTATGATCTCTGATTCTCACCAGCCCGGGGCAATCGATGATGGTGATGGTGATGGAGGCGGTATCGTAGTGGCAATGGTGATGGCGGGCACGAAACCTGGTTTCGGACGGGTACCGGTACTTTGAATTGAAGCTCAGCGGTTGGCGTTGCTAAGGCATAGTTCTATTTCTTCTCTTTTCCTATTATCCCCCCTTAGGGCGTGGATGCACATCGGTATCTCTTCTCGGGTAACGACTATCATATGGGGATTATGGATAGAGAGGCATGAAACTTGGTTTTTTTTTTTTTTTTTGCTAGCGATAGCGTAATGCGAGGGGTTATGTAGCTTTTTGGGATTTTATACATACAGACTGGTGGGGGTTTACGCCCGGTGTATCATACGAGTGCCAGGAAAGAATGTTTCGTACAACCTGAAGATAGGTTCCGTCTACGTTAGAACTACTCCAAGTCCCTGGTCTGCTATTTCCCCTCCCCCTACCTTGTGCTTCCCTTTTAGGCAGGAGGTTTGGGGTCAAAACACCATCCAACCCTCATGATCCTCTCTCCAGTGCTGAACTTTGGGGCTTCAAAGGCCTGGACACCAATCTTTCTTGTAGGATTACGACTACAATACTAATTCTAGTGATCGAGGCTTCTGGCCTCTGCTGTTAGGTCATGGCTTCAAAGACCTATCCCCCCACGCACCCTAGTGGCATTCTCGCCTCCACAGCTATGAAGAGTTTCTACGTTTCTCACTACTATGTATCCTCCTTGACTCATTAGAATGATACCAGTACTAGGCTAGGATTCCTAATAAAACATAGTTGGTATTATGCTGTCGCAGGTCACTAACTATATAGCCAGATGGCTATGACTCAATCCAGAGCAAGCACACTTGAGCTGTTTCCACATCATAACTTTCAGATCAATTTCCCATTTGTAAAACAGGATTGGGTTGCCTGTTACATACTTATTGAATATTAGGCTGGGAAAAACCTGAGTATGTTATTCGCTACAAGGAGGTTTCTTTTATTTGAGATTCCTTTATATTTTCTTTTTTAAGAGAATATAGTATGTGATTTCTCATTACCTCCTACAGATTTCCTTTTCAGACCTGTGCGTTAGCTATCTTGCTAGTGGTGTAAGGGATTTACTTGTGCAGGAAGTTTAGTCTCCTTGTTTCATTAGTAGCATAGCTTAGTATGCGTTCTTATTTAAAGGCTTGATATGTAGTTGGTCTCATATCAGAGGTATTTGGAGTAACTTGTTTTTTCCACAAGCTTGTAGAGCGGGATTTTGACCAGTATATCTTAGGTAACAAGACTCCGCAGAGTACTATTACACCGTGCCAAACCTATACTCATACTGGTTTCAAGAGACTACCTCATTAGGCATAGTAGTAGTGTTCGGAATACCGGGATCTAATAACTAGGAACCATTCTAAGTAGGATAACCCTACTCGGAACTGGAATCTCTGGTCTCCAACACCCCTCTCCGGCACCCTGATGGCGCCCACACATTATTATAAGTATATATCTCAGTTGTGTAGCTAAATGGAAATATCAAGTAAGATCTTTCTGAAAGTCTTGTGTTCAACTCCTGTTGTTATCAAAGTTATTTCTGGTATTGAGTTATTTTCTACCAATAAGACTAGCAAGTGCAAGGCTTCCTGCATGACAACTGAGGACCTTTGACTGAAGGGTTAAGTTTCTATCCTATAGAAGTGCTTCTCCTCTACATAAGGGAAGTTACTGGATAGAAATCTGTATGTAGGATCAGGAGATATTGAGCTTCAAGGTTGGTATTCCAAGAAGGTTCAATACATGACTACACAGAGTTACTGACCATGGGATTATCTTCAAATCAGAAAGAATAGCTTCCTGTGAATTAGATAGAAGTCATCTGAAAGATATCTATATGTTGGATGTAGAGTTATAGAAGTTAAAAATCATTTGATGTTGGAAGGTTAAAATTGTGACTACCTCTACAAATACAACCTGTAGATAAAACTGATCATTTCATCAATAGGGGAGACAATTGGGACCAACTCAGTTCAACTTGAGAAATAGGCCATAAGTCTAATGACTCTGATAATCAGGTAATTACCATTGGTAATAATAGAGTTTCTGTTTAGCAATACCGTAATTATGGAAGAGGGAGTAATGGTTTTCAGGGTCTGCAGCTATTGGTATCTTTAGAGAATAGCTGATGTTACGAATTATAACCAGACAGGTATATAGTTTGTAAAATAAATAGAGGTAGTCTGTGAATATTCAGATGTGGAATATAAATATTGAAATACCTTACAAGCTTTTAGACATCATGAAGCAATAGAGAAGAGATCTTAACAATGTAATATTGTGCTTACGATTCTATCCTACTTTGCCTCCATCACTTTACGCTTAGTAGTCATAAACAAAACTAGTATATTTTGAGCCTTTCTAGGCAATCTCCTTCGACAGTAACAAATCTTAGTTGGCTTAGACAACTCTGAATCTATCCGGATTGTCTCCGCCTAACAGTATATTATTAGATCTCCCTGTTACCGGAGCTCTCTCCTGATCTACATACCTCTCGTATAATACAACTCTGCCAGGACACCAAGTGTCTGGCTGCATATATCACATAAATGGAAACTTCTGAAAATACAGGCTTTATAGCCCATTTATGAGCAAAGGATGAAGCTTGCCAATGAGCAGAGGATATGGCACAACCTACTAAGCAAATAACCCTAGGGGAACCAATAGATACCTAGGGAAATGATTACTTCACAACTTTCAGTCATTCATTTTCTCTCTCTCTGGCTCTCTGGAAACCCTTAGGAGGGCCAGCAGGCAAAGCTGCCAGTGTCCCTTCATCTTCATGAGCCCCCTCTCCAGTTTTGAGATCCTCTATGCCACGTTCCAATACCTATGCAGCAGACCTCTCAAGAATTACTACTAGAGTAAGAATAGTAATAGGCAAAATACTGCAAGACATTTCAAGCAGTATTGATAGTGCCAAAATTGCCTTTGACATCCTGTCAGCTAACTCACAAGTTAATGTATGAGGACTGATAGATGTCCAACAACAATTACTAGAAGGACAAGATATATATGACAGTGATGTAGTAATTATGTTATAGCAGTGTACAGTAGTGGAAGCAAATGTTCGAGAAATCCAAGAAAGGACCAATAGGGAAATAGCTATTAAGTTGGCAGCAGAAGCTGCTCCACAATAGTATCATGAGGGGGTAACTACTCAACCGCAGTGAGAAGCTCTCCAATGAGACCTCACACTAGAAAGAGCATTCCAGAAGTTCGGAGAACAATAAACCCAACAGAATCATGCACTATGAATCTTGATATTTAACCTGGCTGCTTGACAGGAATGGGACGCAGAAAGGTACTATAATTTTACCGATACTATTGAGAGTGGTCAAACCCGGGTCTCAGATACTTTGGCCCTAGTTCTCAATAAAATTAAAGTCCTAGATGGCAGGCACCCAAGTAGCAAACACAATATGTTGAAGTTAGTCCCAGAAGATTGGGAAGATGCAGGAGAGAGGAATGGTGCTGAGGAGACCCCTGCAAGTAAAGAGATATAAAGGGATGGAAACCCCCTAATTACAATAATACGGGATGGTGACATGAATAACAGGAGTGATAATAGAAATTATGAAGGAAATGGAGGAAAGCATGGAGGAGGACTATCCAGATATAGATGCAGGTTAATCTTGGAGCAACGTGGAGCAGCTGATGTGTTTGCAGAAGTATTGGTCCAAACCATTAATTAACCGACTGACTTGTCTTGATTTCTCTAAGCAAAGAAAATTTAATGCATCCATTATTGGTTAATACAAGGTATGAAATACTTCAAACACAATCCTACGATTTGAGATGATGACAAGGAATAAATCTTCTATTCTCTGAGAAGAATAAAAGGAGATTGGGTCAGCCCAATAGCAATATGGTATTAACATGCAATGGATGGCTGCCGAGGAGAAGAACAAGATACAAAATTATTCTCAGAGGCTTATTTTGAATAAGAATTCACCAGTTAGTATATTCCTCTCGAAGAAAGATGTCAAGCCATGTGAGACATAGAATCAGTCGAGTATGAAGACGATATTCAGAGCTTTATAGCAATAATGTGGAATCTGAATCTCTATACTTAACTAATAAGATCAGCATAGTATATGGTAGTATATAGGAAGTTGCCAGCCAAAATTTGATAGCGACTTTCCTGGAATAAATGTGATACCAATGCAGAATGGGAAAAGGAAGTCCTGGAAGTAGGAAGGAATGAGGAGAAACAACAGGAGTAGGACCACCTAGTATGGAATAAACAAAATCTACAAACTTATTCTCAGAGAAAACACCTTTGGAAAAAACTCAACTAAAGGTAAAAATAGAATAACCCTTTATTAAGAGAGGTTGTTCCTCCAAAAAATAAAAATAGAAACTAGAGCCTAAGAAACTGGTAAAGAGATCTACCAGGACAATAAGGTTGACACATACAAACTTCAAAAAGACCCATGAAGGAATTTCCTAGTCAATAATTGAGAAAATAAAGTGGAGAAGCAAATGTACTCATGAAAAAGAAAACCATGAGTACAAAACCTACTGGAGACAAATTTATGTGTCTAGGAAAAGGGCAGTGGACTGCCCAATCAAGACAAGGAGGCTCAGAACTGTAATAGTAGTTCACCATTCTAGAAAGATTTCTACTGTCCTAGTTCTAATTAGCAATAAGCTTTAGGAGCTAAGGGAAGATGAGGAAATGACCTATGTCATTTCATTAGTACCGATAATGACAGTGTTTGGGGAGTCTAAAAGTGACATACTCACTGGGATTTGAAATCAAGTATAACAGGAAACATTAAGTGAAGGAATCAACCTTGCAATCATGACCTGAAAGGTTGTACATAAGTCCTTCTTGCTATAAAGTCATGGGAATCAATGAAGAGCAATGTATGAATTGGAAGCACCTCTATGCTCTCGAAAGGCAAGTTGTAAGTTTGGTCCTAATAACCTAATGTATGTTTGTTAGGGTAGTCTGGCACGTAACCTGGAAACTACAAGGTCTTCGGTAAGAACCAAAGCCTAAACAGAAATGAGATAGCACCAAGGATACCAAACGGGGAGTGACAGTAGGACTAAGATAAATGATCTAGAGAAATAGGCGAAGTACATTCTCAATCTCTATGAGGAATAGGTATAAGAGTACTAGACTTTACCTCAAGTTACTACTTCTTATGTGGCGGGCTAGTACTGAACAGAACCTGAGAAAGTGAGGACACTGTCTATAGTTAAGT